AACGGGGTTTCACCATGTTGGCCAGGCTGGTCTCGAACTCCTGACCTCAGGTGATCTGCTTGACTCAGCTTCCCAAAGTGCTGGTATTACAGGTGCAAGCCACTGCGCCCGGCCAAAATTTGAATTAATTAAAATTAAAATTTTACTCTTGGCTGTTCTATCTATGGAGTAGCCATTCTTTTATTGCTTTAAAAAATTTTTTACTTTTTTTTTTTTTTTTTTTTTTGAAACGGAGTCTTGCTCTAACGCCCAGGCTGGAGTGGCGCGATCTTGGCTTATTGCAACCTCTGCCTCCCTGGTTCATGCCATTCTTCTGCCTCAGCGTCTGGAGTAGCTGGGACTACAGGGGCCTGCCGCCACACCTGGCTAATTTTTTTTTTTTTTTTTTTTTTTTTTAGTAGAGACAGGGTTTCACTATGTTAGCCAGGATGGTCTCGATCTCCTGACCTCATGATTCACCCGCCTCGGTCTCCCAAAGTGTTGAGATTACAGGCGTGAGCCACCACGCCCAGCCTTTTGTTTATTTTCTGTGAGATGGGGTCTCGCTCTGTCACCCAGGCTGGAGTGCAGTGGCATCATCCCCAGCTCCCAAAGTATTGGGATAACAGGTAGGAGTCACTGCATTCAGCCTTAAAATTTTACTTATTCAGGCTGGGCACGGTGGCTCACGCCTGTAATCCCAGCACTTTAGGAGGCCGAGACGGGCGGATCACGAGCTCGGGAGATTGAGACCATCCTGGCTAACACGGTGAAACCCCGTCTCTACTAAAAATACAAAAATTAGCCGGGCATGGTGGTGGGCGCCTGTAGTCCCAGCTACACGGGAGGCTGAATGGCGTAAACCCGGGAGGTGGAGCTTGCAGTGAGTGGAGATCCCACCACTGCACTCCAGCCTGGGCGACAGAGCGAGACTCCGTCTCAAAAAAAAAAAAAAAAAAAAAAAAAAATTTTGACTTATTCAGTCAAATTCCAAATTAACTTCCAAGGACTTAGTTGTCCTTGGAACAAATTCCAAGGACTTAGTTGTCACATGCAACTAGTGCTATTTTGATGGCCAGCACCATCTGGGCACTTCCTACCTTTCTAGCCTCACTTCCCGTTGCTTGGATGGTACATTTTGGATGGCATATTATTTCCGCTCCGCGGAAATAATATTTTTATTTTTATTTTTATTTTTTTGAGACCTTGTTTAGCTCTCGTTGCCCAGGCTGGAGTGCAGTGGCGCAATCCGGCTCACTGCAAGCTCCGCCTCCTGGGTTCAAGCAATTCTCCTGCCTCAGCCTCCAGAGTAGCTGGGACTGCAGGCACCCGCCACCACACCCAGCTAGTTTTTGTATTTTTAGTAGAGACGGGGTTTCACCGTGTTAGCCAGGATGGTCTCAATCTCCTGACCTCGTCATCTGCCCGTCTCCCTAGTGCTGGGATTACAGGCGTGAGCCACCGCGCCCGGCCCTGCTCCCCTTTATCTAATTAAATTGTGCTCCTCCTTTAGTACCTTAACCTCCTTGTATGGTCAAAACACACTATTATATCATCTCACAGTGCTGTTCCCTTTGAAGCAGTGATGACAGTTATAACTTATATTTATGATTTAGGTAATTGTCTGGTTGTCCTGTCTCTTCCAGTAGATGTAAGCCCCTTTAGGGCAGGGATCAAGTCTGGTTTAGTTCACTTTCCTGTCCCGAGTATGAGCATGCTGCTGGCTTATGGTAGGTGCTCAGTAAATAGTCATTTCATCCACAGTCCCCAACCTTTTTGGCTTCAGGGACCAGTTTCATGAAAGACAGTTTTTACACAGACCTGAGTTGGGGGGATGGTTTTGGGATGATTCAAGAGCATTACAGGCTGGGTGCAGTGGCTCACACCTGTAATCCCAGCACTTTGGGAGGCTTAGGCGGGCAGATCACAAGGTCAGGAGTTTGAGACCAGCCTGACCAACATGGTGAAACCCCGTCTCTACTAAAAATACAAAAATTAGCCGGGCGTGGTGGTGTGTGCTTGTAATCCCAGCTACTTGAGAGGCTGAGGCAGGAGAATCACTTGAACCCGGGAAGCGGAGTTTACACTGAGCCAAGATTACGCCATTGCATTCCAGCAACAAGAGTGAAACT